CTCTCCTGGAGTTGAATTCCTAAGAACAATATCCACGTTAAGAAGGGGAAAGAAAATTTGGTCGCCGTTTGTTTAATACGTCCTCCATGAAACGTGAAATTAGGCTCATTTAACGTCGTAATCGTGCGGTGGCGGCAAAGATATGTACAAAAAAGCATGATGCATGTGCAGAGTTGTTGGTTTGCTTATTAACCCTACTGCTTAACGGTCGTTGCCGTTCTCGTTGCCGTCACCGTCGTCAGATCTTAAGTCTCCCAGGGAAGTAATGTTCAGAAGAGAAATAACACAAAATTGAGCTGCATTTCATATCCTTTTTAGGAGCCAGTATTTTCAGCCGGAGGAAAACATCATGGTAAGATAAGAGCAATGCAAATGTTAATTTACTGAGTTTGCTTCAGGACTGAGAAGATTTGACCACCAGCCGAGTTATTTAAGTCATAACATTTTTTTTTCAGACCAGAAATATGTCTTTACGACACTGGGTGCCAGAGGAGAAACTGGACCGACTGATATATCTGGATATGCAGGAACGTCACTGGAAGGAAAAGTTACTTTAAACAACGGAATCCAAATTTGGACCGTGCCCGTGACTGGAACTTATGTTATTGAAGCAACAGGTGGTTCTGGCGGAAATGGTTCGGACGGAACACAATCTTATCCGCTTCTTTGGAAGCTTGGTGGCTTAGGAGCAAAGATAATAGGATCCTTCAAACTTTCCCAAGGAAGTCAAGTCAAAATCCTAGTCGGCCAAGAGGGTGGTGCAACTATGCAATTCACAGACAGACCAGGGGGAGGGGGTGGTGGAACGTTTGTAACCCTGTCTGATGACACTCCACTTATAATTGCCGGTGGGGGAGGAGGTGGAGGGACAGCAAAAGACCAATTTACAGACGGTGACCCAGGTCAGGCAACAGAAAATGGTACCCAGTGTGGAGGAACAGGGGGCAGCGGGGGACAAGTCTGCAATGCTGACACGGGGAACAGTGATTCTAGTTTAATGGCCGGAGGAGGATCCGGATTAAGAGGGGATGGGAAAGGCGGTGGTAAAATTGTAACAGGATCGTTCAGTTTTACTAACGGGGGAACTGGGGGAACATGTCCGACTTCGACTGGTGGTTTTGGCGGGGGCGGGGCTGCCATGATACTTGGAGGGGGAGGGGGTGGTTATTCCGGTGGGGGAGTAGTGGGAACTAAAACTAAAGGTACCGCTGGAGGAGGGGGATCATATAATGACGGTACAGATCAGCAGAACATGGCGGGTGTAAATAAAGGCGATGGTGAAGTTATAATAACTTTAAGGCGTTAATGTTATTTGCGTTCCTCGTCAGCGTTTCATCCCCGAGAAAATGGGGCTAGCTTAATGTTCAAGTAGATGTTAGGAAGGCAAGACACAGGAATTAGAGTTGAAAAAGTTCAATAATGCTCATGAGTGTCACTTAATCTTGTGCTTTAAAAACTACAGGAAGATTAATGAAAATTAAGAAACATAAATATATATTGCTTTCAACCTATTCTTGGTCTAAAACAATTGTAATTTTATCCACTCTTTCAGTTTAAAAAGTTGAAATATAGTCTAACAACTTTTGCACCAAGTTTCAAAATACGACGAGTTTTATGATCATTAATGCCTGTATTTTTACTGTCCGTTATGTTACGCATTTCATTCCCGGGATTTCATTATTCATAGTTTGCCTACGCGAAGAAATTGACGATGGCTTCGCATTTCTCCTGTTTGCCAGATATAAGCTCTGGTTCCCCTTGTTCCAAGATGTAAGCCTGGCAAAAGTAAATCCAAATAGAATGTTATTAGAATCACCTATAGCCAAACCTTCCGCAAGCGACCACCCAAAATGCGAAGATCTAGCAGTCACTTCCGGGAGGTGGTCGCCTACAAGAATCGAACCACAAGGGGCTCCTTCCTAGAAGAGGACCAAACACATCTACATTTTGGAAGAGAATTCTCTGTGTGCAATTACAGTCAAACGTCTTTAATACGGACATCAAAGGGACAGAACCAATTGTTCGCTTTACAGAGGTGTCCATGTTATAGAGGTAGGGAACGTATGATTTTTGGCATTTCTGGGACCAAACGAACTGTCCGTAATAGAGAGGTGTCCGTATTATAGAGGTGTCGGTAAGGAGGGGTTAGACTGTACAAAGCTTCAACATGTGTAGTTTCATGATGTCACCAAAAGCACTTCGCATTCTCTTAGTAGTGAAGTACATACAACGAACATAGAGAATTCAAGCGATGCCTTACGCGTTCGCCCTTACTCGCCCGCTATATGCTCGTACAGAAACACTTCTTGTACACTCTAGACCAAGTACAGTCGCTTACAAGAATCGAACTTCATGGTTTCCCCTCACAGAAGAGGTCTGAATACGTAAGAGAATTCGTTAACGATATGTGTAGTTTCATATTGTCACAAAAAGTTCTTCGCATACTCTGAGTAGGGTACTACATACAGCGAACATAGACATCAAACAATGGCTCAGGTGGATAAAAACAATGGAACATTTTTAGGCCGTCATCCAAAAAGGTTGGAGCGATTGCTTATGAGAGGTGGTAGTTTACGAGAGGCTGCAACTGTAGCGATTTCACTAGAAACAGTTTGGTGTTTTGGATCTAAGAGGTCGCTATATGGGAGGTGGTCGCTCACGAGAGGTGGTCTCACTTCGACTGTATTTACTTTTATTAGAATGGACCGCGGCGCTTGTTAAAACTCGCGCTACTCTCACCCTCGTATTCTTTCTCGTGCTTAATTTAGAAGACATTCATAAAAGAACCTACCAGTAAAGAACCCCTGCCCCGGACTAACCTCAAGTTCCTCTAAAGAGGTCGTTCCTTTCTCCACTTTTGCTCCGATTCCTTTATCAAAACTACTGTAACGATCCTGGAATCAAAATCAGAAAATGAACGTTGTCGTCCGATTATTCTGATCAAGGTTCAATCAAGGTTAAATAAATCCTTATAAATAGGACAGGCCTCTTGTAAAGGCATACACAGCATTTCGATCATTTTCTTAGACAATTATAATACAATCAATTTTGGTAACTTCTTCTTGGTGATTATTACAATCGGTGATCTTTTTTCAATACAAAAGCAAGGTTTATAACAGCGAGCACACTTTTCACCTCAGCTTAAATCTTGATGCTGCAAAGTGTTGACAGTAGCTTAAAATGGGGAATGAATGATTAAGTTTGCCGATACGCACCTCTCTTATATATTCATGACCAGGGTAAAAACAACTTTAGTTGGAACGAACCGTCCTAAAAAACCCAATACGCAGTGGCAACGAGAAAATAGTTTGTCAAAATTCGCACAAAGGCTGATCTTTACTTGGAATGGAATACGTTTTCTAACCAACCTTGACTAAAGAATCTAACGTCCCGTCTTCAATGAGCTTGGCAGCATTTTTAAGTCCTCGAGCAAACGAGTCCATTGCACCTAAAACAGAAAGGAGCCCAATGAATATTCTAACCCGAGGCCTATTTTTCGAAAGTCTCCGGTAGTTCTTTTGATCCGAAGCCAATGGGAGTGCAGCTTGTAAACACCCTAAGAAGTCCACTGTTTTGTTTCATTAACTGGTAGTTTTTTTGTTTTTTTTTTGCTTCATTATCGAAACTACTAGACTTCGATCTTGAATGGAAACATGGTAAACGTAAAACATGAACAACTACAATGTCCGGGCCCAGTAATTACGGAGACTTCGAGAAACTGGCCCCAGAGTGAATCGAAGATTTTTTTAAGGAGGAGAAATGGGTTCCCCTCAGATTAAAGGGGCTATGTCAGGACACTTGTCAGGATAACGTTGCTGTTTAAAGTCAAGCTGGTCAATTCTGTGCTGAGGTCATTTATTTGCACACAAAAATACTCCTATAGAGGTATGAAGAAATTATCAAAGAAATTTCATCAAGGAGCAATAGTAACCAATACTTTTTTTATTTTGCAGGTAAAACATTAAAACTTGAAAAAGTGTTCCTAACTTTTACAACTTTCAGTCCATGTCCATCCTTGCCATCTGTAGCAATGGACGACAGGAAAAAAGTTTTAATGCCTGAATATAGTCTAAAATAACAAAATTGGGACATTACTATTGGAATTCAATTGATACGAAGACGCATTTTAGCTCGTCAAAAACATACAGCAAATAGCGTGACATAGCCGCTTAAAGAAGGGGTAACAGAGAAAAGAAAGGAGGGGATTGTAGCCGCAAGAGTAAGGTTGAAGGACTACCCCCTGTATCTACCCTGACTCTTCGTTGTTTCATGCGAAGGAAATAAGGTCAGGCCACGTAGTCACCTCAGCTCTGTGGCCCAAATACCCCGGTACGTTCACATGCAAAACACTTTCACTCTTTTCTTCACTAGCCTTTTGCGAAAAATACTTTAAAGTAACTTCGGCAGGATTAGCTCAGTCGGTAGAGCGCTTGACTGCAGAGCGGAAGGTCGCGGGTTCGATTCCCGGGACCGCACCAATATACAGGGCCTTAAAATAAACGAGAAATGAAGGTACTTCCTTCGCCCTGTAGGCGGCAGGACCTTCGCGTGGCTCGGATGACCACGTAAAATGGTGGTCCCGTCTCCATTTATAGGAGACGTAAAATATAGTGCCCCCAATTAGCAATTTCATGCTAAATACATTGACACTCAAATAAAGTGCACTTTTGTTTGTTTGTTTTTTTGTTAGCTTTATTTTGTAATGAAATTCTGCACCATTTTAACAGGATAGTACGTGTATCTTCCGTCTCCATTTATAGGAGACGTACAATATAGTACCTCCAATTAGCAATTTCATACTAAATACATTGACACTCAAATAAAGTGCAGTTTTGTTTGTTTGTTTTTCTGTTAGCTTTATTTTGTATTGATATTCTGCACCATTTTAACAGGATAGTACGTGTATCTTTTCACACTTATTTCACTCTTTCTACTGCATTTATACATAACAGACTTACCGATGTGAGCTATAAACATGTCCTCTAAGTCAGTTGATTCACGACGAATTTTACAGTCAAAGTTAAGTCCACCAGGTGTCAGTCCTCCCTGTTCGATAATGGCCTACAATAGAGTTTTATAGGCACGTTAATGAAAATTGCCTCACATTTTTGCTTCGTTGTGTAACGGTTTTTCGTCGAGTATCGTATTTGAAAAGACTATAATGCAGTCTATTTGTTTCGCGGATAACCGCAAATAATGCACCAAATACTTGTTGCCTTTTACAGTGTAAGTCTTCATTACTCATAAGGTTCTCTCTGTCGAACCTGTTTTTGGTGATTTAAATAGATTCAGTAGAATCACGTTTACGGCAAAAGGCAAACGTCAGATGCTATGAGACAATTTCCCAAAATAGAAAATGGACAGATAAACACTATCCATAGTAGTTCTTTTGAATGAAACTGAGTAAAGGGAACACTCTACGTGGTACTAATTAACGTTTGCAGTTTGCAAACGTGATAATAAATTTCTTCATTGTCACTGTCATTGCCGTTGTGGCCTCTCAAGTCTGAACTTTCTACCACCTCAATACAACGCGACTAGTTGCTCAGTGTATATTTCATGGCTTTAAGTATACGAACCTTCATAACAAGCGTGCAGTTCTTAATATCCATGGGGAACTGATCTGTGTCCCAACCAAGATCAGGTGATCCAGTGTTGGAGTCAATTGAACCAAGAAAACCAAACCTGTTCACGACAAAGAAAAGACGATTTAGATTTGTTTAACTTTGCGACTCCTGAAAGTCATACAAATGACAAAACTGTAACCCTCAGAGTGCAAAAAATAAAATGATTCCCTGCAAACATAAGCTGCAGTCTAATGTGAGGTTAAGATTGCAATCGGTCTTCCTGTAATTGTAAAGTGAGTGAACAAATCAGTGGAGCGAATTAAAAATAATAATAACATGAGCTAGGGGGAAACTCTAATTCCTCTCAGCAAGTTCCCTACTTCAAGACTTGCACAGGTAAGCGTGTCTGTTCAAACATTTGGCGTCGATGTGGGTGGTGTAGGCTGAAGAAGATGACAGAAAAGAAAAAGCTAGGGTGGAAACCAGAAAAAAATAACGTACTTTGAGGCCATTACAACATCGTGTTCATAGGAGTGCCCAGCAAGGGTGGTGTGATTAGGCTCAATATTCAGCTGTGAAAAACAGTGCAGAAAAAAAATAGAGTAATAAATGAAACAATAATTATGTGTGGAGAGAGGACGTCAGATAAAATTGAGCTGTATCACGAAATTTATCCAAATTCAAACATTAGGGACCACCACCAAACTCAGTGAAATAACTGCTTAGAAAATGAAGGGAAGGTATAAATAATACAGCAAACACAAAAAGGAGGCAGTCGGATGGAAAAACTTGAGAAGATTGAAATGGATTGCAATTGTTGTTTGTGAAAACTTGTTTGCCTAACAGGTATTCAAAGTTTATTTATGTTGTGTATGTTGTGAAAATGAATTAATCACATGTCACCAGTGTGGGACAAAGAAAAATCTGAGTCACCGACAGGATTCAGACCTGTGACCTCCCAATTAACACCGGGTGGGCACTCCATCCACTTGAGCTACAGAGAACTCATGAAGAGCGAGGCCCTATACTAGGTTCATATTTGACACGCATCCTGCCTGCTGCAATTTGTGTCGTTTGAAACGTTTGATATACTGCCTTTGGGAGACAATTTATTTGTTTGACATAAAGCTGTAATTTTTCCATTTACATGTATTCTATCAAACTCCATTGCAAATAATAAAGACACATCGCAGTTGGCATTATTAACCAATGAACTAGACTGAATGAGCTGAATGGACCGAATGAACTATGACACAGCCCCCTTAAACCCTACACCTTCCAATCTGTATACCACTAGTCAGATGCTCTAACCACTTGTACTGAGAGATCTAAGATATAAGTAACAAGTTTTGTGTTGTTGTAAGCAGGCTAACCTTAAAATCATCCTCTAGTCCATATGTTTTCAGGAAAGCAATCACAGTCTGAGCATCTGAAACAAATTAAAGCTAGTTTTAGAAGTTAAACAAGTGTTTATGAGAGATCAGGGAAAGGGATGAAAACAAAGGAGACATCAAACAAACTAAGAACTGATTAAAAATAAATTAAAAGGGAAAGGATTTACAGGCAAAAAGAAGTGAAAGGGAAAAAGAATTAAAGAAAGAAAAGGACTGAAGGAGAGGGAAATGAAAAAAAACCAAAGACAAGTTAGAACTGAAGGAAAGGGATGGAAAGGAATGTGGAAATGTATGAATGTATGAATGCAATATTTAAACTAAACTGAGGGAGAATGAATGGAAAGAAATAAAAAGAAAAAAAAGAAGGAAACAAGAACCAAAAGACTTTGTCATGGAAAAAAAGGAATGACATAACTGATCAAAGAATTTAAGTGTTGGATTATGATAAAAATAAAGGTCGGGTTGTAGCATTCAGAATAATCTACTAATACCAACCATAGTCATACTGATGCTTAGTTGGTTCCTTTGGTTTGGGCTCAATTAGCAACTGGCCTGTAAATCCTATCTTCTCTTTATAATCTGAAAAGTTATAATCATTTTAACATTATAATTAGTCATTACGAGGTCAAAAAAGACATCATTTTACTACTACTTTACTACCTGAATCCCACAGGGTTTTGCTTTCTTGTGAAAATCAGGCCTTTTTGGTGCAAGTCAGGCCTCAANTTAAGTGTTGGATTATGATAAAAATAAAGGTCGGGTTGTAGCATTCAGAATAATCTACTAATACCAACCATAGTCATACTGATGCTTAGTTGGTTCCTTTGGTTTGGGCTCAATTAGCAACTGGCCTGTAAATCCTATCTTCTCTTTATAATCTGAAAAGTTATAATCATTTTAACATTATAATTAGTCATTACGAGGTCAAAAAAGACATCATTTTACTACTACTTTACTACCTGAATCCCACAGGGTTTTGCTTTCTTGTGAAAATCAGGCCTTTTTGGTGCAAGTCAGGCCTCAATGATATTACTATATTTACATAATACAAAAGGGAAAATGAAATTGATTCTGGTAGACGTTTTAGATGATGCCACAATGCAAATGGCCTACAAGTCAAGCCACCATTTTAGCTAATGATTATAGGGAAAGGTTCACAAGATCTGAAAAAGGCCTTTTTGCCTCTAAAGCTGGGAACAAGTTGTGCAAACTATGAAAGTGTTTTCTTGACTGCCTCTTAAATAAGTCAACCAACAATGAATGATAACTGGTACATGTGTAAGGCAACAATAATTATTGAAAAATTAAATCAGTGATCAGTGCTAAATGTGGGTAGATGAGTCAACTGGTAAAGAAATGAATCATATTTACAGGTGTGGGAAGTTAAGAAAATTATCTTAGTCTCTTACTTACTACCCAACAACTCTAGGAACATCTTCCTATAACCAAAAGGTAACTTTAAAATAGGAATATCAAATGAGACAATATAATGTAAAAAAATTACCTACGACCATTTGAAAAAACCTGCCCATGTGATCAAGTTCTCTCTTGACATCTGTGTTGAGCAATGTGTGATAACCTTCGCGTCCACCCCAGAAAACTGTCATTACAAGTTAATGAACATATCAGGAAACAGCTATATCACTCGCAGTTTTCAGTTATTGTACAAACATTACTGATTTAATACAGTTATGTATATCATTGTTATATTATAAAATATTATTGTCAGCAATTTAATTCATTAAATCAATAAATCTCACTATAGACTATAATAATTATAGTTATTGTAGCTGCCTGCAGTATTGATAAAATAATCCATTTAATAATAACAATAATTCATAATTTAAGTGATTATGTATTGTAATATTACTAGATCCTCACTATTAAAAATGATAAATTATTGCTTTCAGATTAAAAGAATAAACTAATTCTGAGCCTGTATGTTATTGTTCACTTACTTTTAATTGATGAGATAAATAAAACAATTGCCAGATGTCTGCATGTTTGATTAAACCTACCAAAGTTTTCTGCTCCAAGTTTTTTGGCAATCTCTAGACCTTTCTTCACTTGTGCTGCTGCATGAGCGAATGCATGAGCATCTGGATTAGAAGCTGCACCATTCATGTACCTGTTAAAAAAAATACAAAGCAAAATAACAGAGGGTTTTTCAAAGTAAAGTTGTGAGTCAGCAGCCGGCACAATTTAATGTGTAAATTGTCAAATTCTGTTGGGGATGAACAATATTACAATGAAGAGTTCTATTTTCAAATTACCAAAAATTACCCTCTAGTCTGGTTTTCACTTGGAAATAAAATTATGTATTTACCTTCTCAAAGGAGTCAAGACACATTCATGTAGACAAACTAGCCCACAATGTTGATATTCATAATGCATGGACTTTGAATAGAGACTGAGACTGGCTGACCAGGGGAGTAGCTCAGGATCATTTTATCAGAGCACATAATCCATCCCTGAATAGAAATTGGGGAGACACAACCCAGTGCCAGATCCAGACCTTGAGAGGGGGGGGGAAGGGTCTGCCAACAAAATTTTTTCAGTTTGATCCAAAAATAAGAGGGGAGGCTGGCCCCCCCTGGATCCACTACTGCAACCTTTCAGCAAACTGGATCAGACTGATCAGGTCACAGACATATGATATGTTCAGTCCACTGTGAACAAGGCCCAGTCTATGGAGCTAAATACTCAGATTTTTTTCTCTTAGTGATAAATATTTACAATGTTTCAAGTTTAAATTACCTTGGGTTGGCAAAAAGGTTGCAAGTGGCCCAAAGAAGCTTGACTCCTGTTTTTTCCTGTAGCTCTAAAGCGAGATCAGTCAACTCATCAAGATTAGAATTTGTTTCTTTTAAGTTTTCTCCTTCAGGGGCAATGTCCCTAGCAAAATAAAACAGTTCATTTACTTAAATTACATTTACATTTACTTCTAAAAGCATACCTCTCAACTCTGAGGATTCTTTGGCTCTGATTATTAATTAATCAACTATCATATATCGCCGAGATTTTATAATGTATCTAGAAATGTTTCAAAGATGAGAGAAATATTAAATAAATATTAAATATTAAACTGTTTGGAACAATTTCAAGTTTAAAGCACAATTGTTTACAGCTGCATACAATCCCTAAGACACCCTGGTGGGATGGAATATTTAAGTGCAAGTTTACACCCCATGGGCAGTTAATCTTACTAAAACAGTTCCAGAGACATTTGGGCATTTTAATTCCTTGTTTCTCATAGGCCAAGAAATAACCAGAATTTTAAGAAAGAAGTTCTTCTGCAACTGCCCAGTGGTTCTCTTTTCCTTTTATAGACTTTTCTAACATTTGTAAATTCCATACCAATAAAAAGTGCTACTGGGAAAACCATGAACACTTGAAATATCTCAGGAATGTTTATTGTGTTATGATGACCAATCAATGCAAAGATCAGGACACATGAACTAGCCACAAAACCGCAAACTAATTAACGGTCTTGCTTGCGGTTTAGTTTTCTCACACCTGATTGGCTTTTTTCTTGCAACACAATAACATTCCAGAAATATTTCTGGTATTTCACAGTTTTTCTGGTTTGACTGTAACTGCCTCCTAGATCTTCAGGGATGACTATATACAGAGATTTCAAAGTTACTCATGAATCTGTTCAGTGATTTGGACATAATGTTCAAGGAGTAACCAGACAAAGTAAGGATGAGTTAAGGAGTTGTGTTGACTGGGAAAACAGGCCAATATCAGGGTGCAAAGAAAGACAGTTTTGCAGCCTACCACTGATCGGGCAAGCTGTAGCTAGTATGTACTAGCCCACAAGTCATTTCAACTAGCCCCAAAACCCTTTTTGATTAGCTGGATTGATTACAATCCTTCTGCAATTTGAATTTCCCCAAAAAAACAGCACTTGTCTGTCTGGCAAGTTAAGAACAAAAATCACTAGACCGATAGCAAAATCCACTAGCCCTGGGCTATCGAACATGACTTTCTTTGCATAATATTAATAATATTTATTGATTTGTATTGCGCAAATATCAATCCAGGGAAAGAAATTTTCATCTGCGCATAACAATGACTCAACAAAATCCTAAAATCCTAGTACATATTCCAAAAACAAAATTTGCATGCTGAATAAAGAAAAAAGACTGATGTGAGCATTATTAATTACATGGGGTGCACACTTTTAAAATGTGCTCAAAAAAGAATGCGATATTTACCTGTCATGGAAAGTATAATATTTGACACCAAGTTTCACAAAAAATTCAAATGCTGCTCTCAGCCTTCTTTTTGCATTTTCTAAGCTGTTGCTTCCATCATCCCAGTGCCGGGATATTGTAGGAAAACCAAATGGATCAGCTCCTGTGGAAAGATCGAGATGTTAGCCAAAATGTTAAGCATAAGGAGCATGATTTTGTGTCCATATAAATATGCCCCAAGTTATTTTCTCTGGCTTAATTAGGGACTGATATATGATTTCCACGGTATTTGACTATTTTCAGTCGCTTCAAAAGTTGGAGGATAATGTGGAATTTGAATGAACTGAAGGTGGGTATTCTGTAAGTTCCTTTGTACTGTGGGGAATTTGCTTGGACACAATCCTTCAAATAGTCAATCCGTAGGAAAATGCTATAACACACTGCAATATCCCCTTACCCCATCACAACAGGCAGTACACTAGTATGTCTGTTAAATATAGATCTTTCAACAGCAGTTCCACTGCACTGTGATGATTTGGTCCAAGAGTAAAGCAAAATTGTTTGTTTAACAAACTTATAAGCATTAAATTTTTTATTAATTTTGTTGGGTAATTGCAGAAAGGCACATTTTATTTTGTCTTATTGATGCATCACGAAAATTCCACCAAAGCCTTACAATAATCACTCTTGGAAAATGAGAGTTATAGGACATATTTTTATGATTGTAGTTCACTGAGATCAAGCTATGTCTTGCTGTCCTTCTTTGACAATGCTCCTTAGCAGTAAACCACTGAAATCATATCAGAAGCTTAGCATCTATACCTGTTATTTTTTCACCACATACCTGTGCCTCTGAATGTGTGCCAAAAGCAAACAGAAAATCGACACCAATCTTCCATTGTCTTTCCCATCACCACCTAATGTTGAAAGAAAATACATGTATATTAAATGATCAATACATCCCCATTTTTCAGGAACAGTTTGTATCAAACCTACAGGTACGTTTTTGTCCAATACTAAACCAGCACCCTCGAGTACGCATTAACATCGCCATCATTTTCAGATATAATTTCTGCACAATTAAGTCTATTTCACACTCTGGCAAGGTCTAACTTTTGAACAACATGTTCACCTCTTGTGGGTTGTAGTGTTTGAAGCACAGGTTATCGCCTGGTCCTCCATCGGGCTTGTACTCAATTTTGCTTATTCCTAAAAGAAGAAAATACACATTCAGAGAAGGAAAATACCACACCCCTTTTTAAATAACACTCGAAAAACCGCTACGGAAAATCTCCGCGCGCATTAAATTTGCACGGCAACCTGGAAAAAAATCCTCCTCGGTGTCAGCTGATGAGCCATTACTGGGTGATCTTCTTGCTTTTTTAGTCGGAGGTGCAAAGGACGACATGTTACAAAACGAAGGCCTAGGGAAAACGAACGATGTGGTACAAAAAGAAAACTTAGGCTGTGAACGGTCACTGAAATGTGAACTTACGACACTTTTTGCCAGGCGTTGTCTGCCTCAACTCCCCGGGGTCTGGGCTCTCGAGATTATCTCGAGATTTCTCGAGATTTGAGATTTTGCACTCGAGTCCGCAAGCTAATGCGGTTTCCGCCTAAGATCAAAATGGAGGACGATTCTCCAGTAATTTACGGTTTAGAGTTAAATGTAAGTTATTGACTTTCTCTTTCATTTTTATCGCCTTTCCCCTCCAGTGTTTTAAAATTTGAACCATACAGCTCTCTTTTATTACTTCATACCACACATTTAGATGCCTAAGCGCATGACTGTCACTGTGTCAGGATCGAATTAGCCTCCCACGCAAGCTTTTTAGGGGAACTCGTTTTTCATCCCGCCCACTCCTGTGGGGAGGGACGAAAAAACAAGCTCCCCTAAAAACGCCTGCGTGGGAGGCTAGGATCGAATCCCAGTTTGCTAAAACTGGTATAGTTAAGAGCATGATATTGTAGTGATATTTGGCATGAAATACCACGAGTAATATTTCGAAATTGTTATACGTAATTTCACGAGCTGTTAGGCGAGTGAAATTTGAGACAATTTTGAAATATCACGAGTGGTATTTATGCCAAATATCACGTACAGATCATGCTATTATTTGTTTATACTACTACCCGCAAAGGTTTTGTAATTTTTACATGTAGGTACAGTATTTCAAATTAAGCTGAAATACCACTGCTCTAAGCCAATCAAATTGCAGAAATTTCTCATGTAGTAGTATAAAGACAAAAATTAAATATGCTTATAAGCTTAAGAGTTTCTTTTAATATTAGAAAAATCAAATTGGATAAAAAACATACCATAAAAGATTTAAAAAGTCACCCTTATAGCCTGCAGTGCAGGCGTTTTCTTCGGGCGCGCAAATGTTTTGCTCACGAAAGCGCATGTTGAAACTCAAAAAGGGGGCAGAAAATGGGGCGAGTCAAAAGGAGCGGGCCTCCCCTCTTTCCTTCTTTAACCCTAGCACCTACCCTTAGGGTTACGGTTTTTACTCTCCCTAGTCTTCATCCATCATAACAAAGATGGCAGTTACAACAGTACAAACATAAACAAGCAGCTTTCGCCCTCCAAAAGTACGCTTGCACTGCAGGCTATCACCCTTATAGTCAACTCAAGTACCCTTTTAATAATGATGCACTATTATGTGTTGATTTATAGGCTCGAGCTCTAGTCCCCCAGCATGCAGAGACAGATGTGATTAGGTTTATTGTTGGCACACAATCTCTTAAATTTGATAACCAGGTGAGAAATGAAAAAAATGGTTGTTGTTATCTTTCAGTTACATCTACACATTGGTCTTTTTAATGACTTGATTTTTTTTTTTTCAAATATTTTCAGATTCACCTGATAGACTTTGATGATGAAAGCAATGTTATAAATAAAAATGTTTTCATGCATTCTGCAGGAGAAATATGGTGAGGACTCACTTTAGTTTGATATGATCGTAGGGAGTCCAGGCTCACAATTATATCCGCCTTGAAGCGAAATTATAAGGATTTGTATGTGAATTTATCATATGTTTCATAAAAGGGTTAAAATGCTCATAAAGAGTCATTAAAATGTATATGTTACTGATCAAAAACAAATTCAGGCTAAAATTGTTTAACCTGGATTGTTTCTCAATTTCTTTTGTCCTCTTATCCTAATTCATGAGTGATTATGGCTAGGAGACAAAGGAAATTGAGAATCAACCTAGGTTAAAAAATTTGAAGCTGAGTTCATTTTTGACCTGTAATATATACCTCATAAAGAGATGTCTCTGATCTGTGTCGTTTTCTTTGTGGGCATTAGATCATACATTTGAATGCTATTTTGCGCCTAATAAATAATAAATTATTATTATTATTATTATTATTATTATTATTATTATTATTATTATTATATTACTGTTTCCTGTCCTAAAAGCCAGAACATCAAAACACACACACATTAGTGCACTATGACTTCTATTTACTGTACATAATTTACAACAATCTTGATAGTCCACAATTTGTAATCAGTTCAGTTCTTATTTAGAGCTAAATTTTGAGGCATTTATCACTTCATTATTGTGAAAACATGTTGAAGTTGACAGTGAAAGAGTAGACAGTCCTAAGGTTTTTTTATTCTGTCACTATATATGTAGGTCCATGAACACAAGTCCAATTGACAAAAGTATCCTGGCAACTTGTTATAACAGAGGTAGGCCCTTGATTAGCTTTTCCCAAAGAAATTGAAGGTATATAAAATCTCCTGGGGAAAGAAAGTTTGGGCAGTAGTATGCTATTGAAGCCTTCAAACCCTGACACTGTTCAAGACAAAAATTCTTCATTTTGTCACCCTTTTGAAGACAAGAGGCCCTTGTTTTATGACGGTCACCCTAACTTGTTTCATACATACAAAATTAGGAATTTATTCAAACTAACATCACAGAATTGAAAAATTAAAAATTGGTGGTATCACAAAATTCTACCAATAATCAATAAGGGAATCACATAAACACAAGTAAAAATTGGGAAATTAGACATCTACCCTTTTTTATATCCCCACCTGGAGGATTCACTATGAGCATTTCACATTTTCTTAGTGGTCTTCTTGTCTATTGCTTGACCCAGTGTCTGATTCTAAGGCTGAAATACAAGGAGCTCTTTGGAGAATTCCCCCTGTTGATGACACTGAGCCCCCTGGTCTGGATTCCCCTGGGATTGTACCTGGTAGCTCAGGGCATTCAAGATCTCTTCAACTCATTTGTACATTTGATAACAAGCAGGAAAACATGAGAAGGTCAGAGTGTGTTCATTACTTTGTAATAAAGTCTATAGTGTAAACACTACTTCAGGGCTCAAAATAATTTTCAGAAGGTGGCCTGATACATTGACTGGCCAAAGATTATCTATGCTAAACAAGTTCACTAATAACAGTCTGTAATCTCAAAACTGTCCTTTACTTGCTCTATTTAACAAGTGGCTTAATGAAAGGATAATCATGTTATAAAGGAAATAAAGGGAGATGTAAAGAATCAACCATAAGAGTACACAGAAAAAATCTGAGCCCAGATGGGATTCGAACCCACGACCCTCCGTGTTCTAGATCAGATGCTCAGTGGCTTAGGTTGGTTGGTTGGAGGCTCCTTCATGGGTGAAACATTTCTTGCTATNAAAAAAAAACACAAATGTTCCTCGTCTTTATTTTTATAGAATAGAGAGTACGCAGAAGCGTTTTTATTGGTGGCAATTGAAAGTTTTCTTTACAAATTACAACCCTCCTCCAGGGATAGCTAGTGGTTCTTCAGTTAAATAGTGATAAATGAAACATTAGATATTGATTAGACACAAATTTGTGTTTTTTTGAATACGTGATGTGATGCATCATATGATATATCTCAAAAGGAAGGGTGCATTTAAAGGTCATATAAAAAACGGTTTATTTTTTAATGGCTTTGTATTTTTCTTGCACCTTTTGGTGTTACGTTTGTGAAGCACCATCCAACTTTGAGGAAAAATAAACACCTCGCACTACATCCTTGTCTCTTGAGCTTTTACTCTTGTGAAAACATTGGTCTTACAAAAAAGGAAATTAGTGGTGAATGACCAGCCTCCTCATGCTCATTTAAGACCTGTATGTATTTTCAGTGTGTTGTGGAACCCATCTGGGGATGGCAGTCAAGTTGTGACGGTTTGTGAGCAGCATCTGGAATTATGGGACCTTGATAGAACTGCATCAACAGCAGAGGTGTGTCTTCATTGAACTAAAGAACTGCCTTTATTTACTGTTCAGTATGACTATTTTTGTCATCCCTTAAACGTCTCTCGTTCGTAAGCTGCATTACATCTATCGTATTTGCAATCCAGGACGCGCAGAGAATTTTAAGGTTAACACATTCCACTGGAATGATACATACCCCAAATTATGTATACTAATGAAACAAAAGTAAACATTTACAGTCTTCATCCGAAAGTGAAAATCGATTTTCACGTCGTAATCATAGTAGTCGGAAGACCATGCAGGAAAAAGCAGTCAGCGCCGAAAAAGAAATTGGAGCAGTCGAAAACCTAACTTTTTCGTAAACTAGAGATATGTTAATTTGTAAATTCAAATTAACCTAAATGAAATTTATTTACAACAATTACATCACTTCGCAATTCTGACACAATATTGTCATATCGTTTGCAATGCATTCAGCGGTGGATTCAGCCGTAACCGCTGACGCAAGAAACAAGCGCAAACATGTGCAAGCAAGCTTGTTTAATTCTTACCTTCCTATATTGATAAATTGATAACGTAATGCGATAGCAAATCAAACAACCGGTATCATCACATACTCTGATTACGGTCACTTGATTAGCGAAAACGTTCGTCATTTAGACAAACTAACAGACTTATAATGCTCCATACACACTGCATACACACCAACTAAACATGTTTAACTGAACAAAGTTTAAAAAAACGAAAAGCACACTCGGAAAACTGGAACACAGGTTTTTTCACCGGCTTGTAATTAAGTGAAGAAATAGAAAACTTTGTCAAAGTCAGTAAAGTCAAGATAAAAGTTTGTTGACAAAACTATAGCATCGAAAACCATAAAGAGAAGCACCTCGCTCATTGATTTTTCCAAAGATACCCTTCCGAGTGTGAGCGCAACTCTCTTTCGCGTGTCGCGTGACCTTGAGCCGCGAGAGGAGATATCCACGCTCGCTCACTCATCTTTCTCTCAGAAAAGCAAGTGACTTATCTAAGTGTATTGTTTTCACTACAAAGTCTATTGACTCAGCTCGACTAGAAGGAAAAGGACAGCCGAAGTTCACCACGGGTCGATGGAACCCACATCATAGTGGTTCACAGATCGCCACAGCTAATGACATGACAATCCGTGGGTGGGATGTCAGAACTATGAGGTCAGTGATTTGTGGAAATTTAGCCCTTGCTTTCCTGATTTTGTTTGTCTGTGTTTTTTTGTTGTTTGTTTTAAATTGTTTTCTTTTTTCGTTTTGTTTCTTGTTTATTTTGCCACACAAAAGGGATAAAAGCTATGGAATAGAGTACTTAACTAAAGAGGCAAATTAATAGCCTAAAAAATGAGTTAAACAGCTTGAATTTCTTGATTAAAATGCACCCAAGAGCACACTTTTAATTTACCCCGTCGTATGCCACACCCGAGAAGAGGAAGAAATGAATATACTTTTAGGCGTGATAGGGGTGGGAGGCGAAAACCGCGAACTTTCCCGGCCTCTTGCTTTATCCCTACATTTTTTTGAGCAGTGCTTTTTAATCTAAGAACCAATCCCACCATTTGATTTTAGCGCTATCGAACGCTTTCGCCCTTACTCGTTATTAACCCCCTCTTGCCCTTTCACCGTATGCTCGCTTCTTGTGCAGTCTAGACCAAATATAGGAGATAAAGGTCAAGGGTTATTTTAAAAAGAACACTGAATAATAATTGTTATACTACTGCCTCAGATCTGTATACACCATTGAGAATGCACACAATCAGCTGGTGCGGGATTTAGACTTCAACCCAAACAAGCAGTACATACTGGTCAGCTGTGGTGATGACTGTAAAGTACGTTTCTGGGACACAAGAAACTCTACCTCTCCCCTGATGGTGCTACAAGATCACTCACACTGGTAGAACAGCTTTTCTCCTTAACTAGTCAAACTAATTCGTCTTGTATAGGGCTGTCAGTGGTCGTTTGCTGCTGAAAATGCTGATGTTACGGTATCAGATGATTCAGATTATTGTATCACACAATATTCTACGGATCTTCCAAAGGCCCATAAACACAGCCAAATAATTGCTGCGTGCGACACTGTATTCAAACACGTACCGTAAATAATCTAACCAGACGCCCTCTCTCAAATAAAGCGTCTTGCCTGATAAACGCCCTCCCTACACTTATAAGTTTGTTACACGTACACACCTCCTGTTTAATAGAAGTTCCTCATGACAATTATTGCTCAAAAAAAATTTTCAATTTATTCTGCTTCTTGCTTGATTAATTAGAGATTGCAAATTACAAAGTAAGAATTCTGACATCGAAGTTTAGCTTTAAGAAGCCATATGGATCTCTCAAACGGCCTAGACGTATCAATGGTTGGACTGGACAGTCTGCTGTTTATAAACTGTGGTGATATATTCACCGAAAGTGTAATAGTTTTGTAGAGTTTGTTGCAGTTTTGGAAATAAACGTCTCGTATGGTATCTTACGCCTCCCATCTGTTAAACGCACCGGGCGTCAGTTAGATCATTTACGGTATGCAGTAGTAAAATTTTCCTCTTCTACCACAATATTGCATGCAGTAGACTTTCTTTTGTACAACTAAACATTTCGCATCATTTTCATTTCAGGGTGTGGAGTGTACGATATAATCATTTCCATGATCAGCTGGTTTTGACGTCGAGTAGCGACAGTCGAGTGATTCTCAATAACATTGTGTCTCTGTCTTCAGAACCTTTTGGGCATCTGGATGATGAAGATGAAGAAGACGGTGCACAAGAAAAAGGGTCAGTTTAAAAATCCCGCTATCATGGGTAGTAGATGTAGGGGCTGTTTACATGGAGGTGGGGGACTCCAGGTGGGTGGGGTAAACCGCCTGTCCACATAATCTCTCATTTTAATATGATCACTTTTACATGATAATTGGGTCACCCGCCGCGTGTTACCTCACCTATCTGAGGTCCCACACCTCCATGTAAACAGGCCCTTAGAAATAATCCTCGGGTGTCGGGATCCATTCGTCGGTGGCCCGTATAAATCAAAGAAGAGGTTATCCATTAAAAAGGTTTGACCTCAAGCTCCCTAACTTTGTTTACATTGTGCATGGATCGCTGGAACGATGCTTAACATATATTTTTAAAAATGAGAAGGGAAAAGGCCATTTGAAGAATGGCATCTTTTCACTACTAAGACCAGAATTCTGTTCTTTCATATTTGAATGTGGTAATCCCAATGAGGATAAAATAACAAAAGCCTTAATTTGCACAAAAAAGGCAAAACCCTGAAGGATTCTCACTGGTAGTAGTAGAAATATGACGTCATCTTGCAAATAGCTTGTTGTTCACGTTATGGTTTTCCTTTAAACCGCGCCAGAAGAAAATAATGGAAACAAGACTCAGTTAAGCGTTTATCTGTATTTTCCCCTTCAGGTCCCGCGAACCCACAAAAGACGGAGTCATAGCAACGTTCGATGAACACGAGGACAGCGTGTATGCTGTGGAATGGTCTACCGCTGACCCCTGGGTGTTCGCCTCGCTGTCATATGATGGTCGACTGGTTATAAATAGGGTGCCCAGAGCGGAGAAGTATAAGATACTTCTTTAGCTAAAATCATAGGCAACAATGTT